CCATAACGTCCGAGCGACACCCCCTGAGTCTATCGCGCTCGTACTGGTCGGGATACAACGCACTTTCTCATGGACAAAGTTCGTCATGTCTGGGAGAGAAAATCTCTTCTTAAGGCTTGAGGCCGCGTGGTGAAAGATCGTTACGCACCAGGGACAAGGGTCGAGTTTTCGAAGGACGACCAGAGCTTGGTAGCGAGTGATCCCTTAGAGGAGAGGCCCTTGTGAAATGATCATTTGCGAGAGGTCGACACGATCTTCAGGTCGTGATGGTCAATCAGGAAACGGACGCGCATCAATAGCGGAAGGCGAAGTATTTGAAGGTCGGGGTGAAGCTGGAGCAATGTCCAGAACTAGACGTGAGGACGTGGAGTCTCAACATTGCGCGACGGTGTCGGGGTCAAAATGCGTGGACGCCCAAAGAATCGTCCTCAGCCAATCTCGGGCTTCGCCAGTCGGGGACTGCGTCGGACATCAAATTGCATCAACGTAGAATTCTTCCTGCACACGGCGTCGTGTACTGAGTACTGGGTACTGGGTACTGAACGTTTTTACAATTTACTCGCTTGTATCTCCATCCCAAGTCAGCTTGCTCTATCAATGTATCGCTTGCAATACTTTACAGCGTAGACATTGAGCGCCTGTGTGATGTCGGCGAGGAGTAGCTCGGGGAGCTTTCACAAAAACAAATAACCCCCGCCGCCAAGACGTCATCGCGTCTCTCTCTGAAATGCTGCTGCATCTTCACCGTGCTTCACATATCCCTTTGCAACCAATTTACACCTACCTATTTTCTGTATCTTCGAAAACGTTGCCGACGTGCAGCCACAACTTAATCTCGGACGACAGCTCAATGAAACGCTCTACACCTGCAAGATCACGTTCATATAAGCCACCAGCGTCCCAGTCGCCGACTTCAACGACCTGTCCTGCGACCCGTATTTCCAGGCGACGCTCACCGCTGAGAAGGGTCTTGAACAGCCCGATGGCATCCCCCAGATGCTCACCTACCGCACCCAGACATGCCGGCGGATGCTGGACCCAGAGTTCAATGCACACTGGTGTCATGAATATTACATATTCCAGATGGTTCTCCTGGATTCCATAGTATTCTTTTACTTTCTATACACCTCCGTATATTCATAGAATAATCTAGGTATTGAGTCTGACATGTATATAAGGAGCTCGTACTGCTCAATAACAAGCCAGACTTGAGCTGGTCTTTACTCACCCACTTTCCTCTCGTCTGTCTCCTCAGCCTTGTCATAGCCCAGTCCAGTTGGATTGTAGGTTGCTGACATTAGCTCGAGTCTCCTCCAACTGCCCTACGACAATCCTTGTCACTCCCACACCAACCATCACCCATCTCCACACGACGATCCACCCTATACGCATATCTGACTCTCACCCTAAATCCTAACCCTACCGAATTCTACCGCATCAAGACCCGGACCCCTGGAACCTTTCTCCATGCACTTGCACAACTTTTACCACATCACACCCCGAAGTCACCTCTGTAATCACTAGCCCTTAGGCGGCTAGACAGAGCTCCGTCCAATTAGAATCGTACCCTGCCCTACCATAGGCGGCGTTACACGCTTTGCAGCAGGCAAGCAGATATTCCTGAGTACGACGTGGCAACTGGTTGCGGCCAGGCATCGGAAAAGCGACAACAGTTAGATTGACGATCTCTTTCCGGGCGTCGGACCGAAGAGAAGCAATTGCTCTTTGGGCTGTTGTAGTAATCCTAGAACTGTATTAAGATAATGTTTCGATTTTTTTTCGGAAATTCCCATCTTTGGCGAGATCTACTCCTGATCTAGTCGTCCCAACACGATTAGTCCCAGGGTTTGCTGCAAACAGCTTCACGGACCCGACAACCCATGATCACGCCCTCTTGTGATTGTAGAGGACACACACATCAGAAAATAGAAGGGAGATCCATCTACATACGCAGCGATAACGTACAATATTGTGTGCAACAACCGTGCCCACATTACCCGGACAATAGCACTCGTTGTCCGTGGTGCAGAGAAGGATTACGGAGAGAACTGCTACAAAGAGTTCCCACAGGAGAACCTTCAGAATCCCTCGCAGTCCCACAACCCATAGCGTCTGGCTCAGAACCCAGAACTAGACGAGACACTCTCAAATCAGTCACTGACCATCTCCGCTCAATCGCCCTCGGAGAATCTGAAGCACCACCAGAAGATCCTCCAGACCTCATAGAAGAAGCCGTAGAAGATTCTGAACCATCAAACCCGCCTTCTCGACGTTCTCCCACTCCACCCTCATCTCCATCTGATCCCGGCGCGATGGCCAAAAACCAAGACAGTGCCGCATTCTTAAATGGAAGCGCAATGAAGCCCGATGCCTTCAATGGCACAAAGTCCAAGTATATTGCTTGGAAGACTCAAATGAAGCTTTATGTAGTCACTCAAAGGAAACGACTACCTGAGCAGTTTGACAGGGTCCTCATGATCCTGTCTTACATGAAAAGTGGACATGCAGGTGAATACATCGCCACGTTCATGAAGAAATATGACACGGACAAAAATACCGTGATACAGACCACAAAAGCACTGTGGGAAGACTTAGACAGGCACTTCCTAATTGATGAGCAAGCCGAAGCATACAATCGGCTCCAAGCAATGCAGATGGGAACGCTATCAGTGCAAGAGTTTTTCTCGAAGTTCGAGTTGTGCACCTTCCAGGCGAATATTCACGACTTCGAAGCACACTTCCAGGAACTTAAGTCACTTTTAGAAAAAGCACTCCGGGCCGACATCATTCGGCTTCTGTACAATTCTTTGGAAGAACTCCCCACTACATACGCGCTCTACAAGCTACGGGTCGCGCGCATCAACCTTAATCAACAGCAATACCGTAGACGAAACCCGCAACCCCAACGACAAGGGCAATTCCAGCCTCGACAACAACAGGCGCAGAACACACCACGAGCGCAGACTAACGTAGCTGCGCCAGTAGCCACGACTGTGCCAGTTCAGACACGGCGCGATGGGACTGGTGTTACCTTTGGAGGAAGGGGACAACCAATGGAGCTAGATCAGGCGCGACGCCTCGGTCTCTGTTTCTGATGTGGCCAGAAGGGCCATCTCTCACAAAATTGCCCCAATAGGCAACAAGCCCAACAAGTAAAGGCCGCAGAGACACCAGAGATCCCTGTCTCCAATAGCTTCACACCACTCGTACCTCTCGCCGAGGCACCTGCCACGACAGCAGAACCATTCAATTGGAAAACGGCAATTCGCAAAGAAATTCGCACGGTCATGAAGGGTTTTGCAAGCGGTCAGCCGGGCGCGTAGCCGAGTTGACCGAACGTAACTTTACAAACTATCTGTGTTCCTGGTTTGGAGTACCCATGTATATACCAGAAAAAGGGGCGTCCACAGAGCGGCGCGGAGAGGCTCAACCCTCTTGCTTAATTCCCTCGAATAAAAAATTATCTCCTATCTTGAATCAGACCGAACCTACGCAGTGGCAGCGCCACACCCCATGGACAGCGGCATGGATCCGCCAATGGATAGTTAGCAAAAATGAAGCAGCGCTTAAATTGCTGACTGAATGGATACACTCAAAGAAGAGTGTTGACGCCTCAGAAGCCTGTATGAATCAAATCAGGCAAATGAAAGAAGAAGAAGCAATCAACTTCCTGAATGAACTACGGAAACAGCTGTCGTGGGCGTAGCCCCGGCCTCCTATTTTATTCCCATTTTCTCCAATTTATTCCACAATTATACGACCCTCCAAACGTCGTCGGCGCATAGGCGCCAGTTTACAAGCCATAGCCGCGCGCTAACACCTCGAGAAGCATCACCGACGGACACGTATCAGCGCATCAGATGCGCCTACATTGCCGCCGCATCATGCTTCCTCGGCAACAGCCGCACTCCGATCTCCATCGGACATTCGATCCCCGGCGGCCCGACAACGTCATACGCTATGACACACCGGCCCCATCTATCTCCGAGTCCGATCGGCAACGGACTTCCTATCCCTGTCGGCCTGGCAACGTCATACGCTATGACACACCGGCCCTCGCTTCTCTGCCAAAGTCCCTCAGATACTAGCAACCGCCGTAGCACAGTCGCTTATGTAACGCCTGGTCCGTGCGCAGCCTGACTAGTATATAAGGAGTCCTTCTGTCGCTACCTAGCCCCATCTCAACCTCTTGGTTTATTGGGCTAGGTAAGCCTTTGTTTGTATCGTAATACAGTCACTAATATTACTTGGTTTATTGGGCTAGCTGAACAAGCTAACACATTAGTCGCCAGACCTCGTCGGCGCCGCCTTCTGATTAGATCCACGCAGTATCCCTCGTGGTGTGTCGACGCAAATCCACATCAACAGCCTCGCTACATTCAAGGAAGGAAAAGGACACAGATGGACGTTCCTATGATTATTACCACATTAGACAATCATCAACGCTTGTCCGTCAAAGCATTACTTGACACGGGATGCACAGGGTTATCTATCGATGCGCAGTTTGTATGCGATAACAACATCGCTACAAAAAAATTGCCATCACCGATCCCAGTTTATAATGCAGATGGAACGCATAACGCCGGTGGCACAATCACGGATTTCGTAGAGTTAAGGGTTGAAATTCAGGATCACGTGGAATGACTTCCCTTTGCCGTTACCAATCTAGGAAAGACGCCCATATTCCTTGGATATGAATGGCTTCAGATCCATAATCCATCTATCGATTGGCAGGAACAGATCATTAAGTTTGATTGTTGCCCGATTGCCTGCCGATATACTGCAAGAATGATGGATATCGACAATGATAAGGAAGAACCCAGCGATCCGGAGGCTCGTCTTGAAGAGGGAGATAGAATCTTCGTTCTAGACTATCAGACATACTTCACTACGGGAGCGGCGCGTATACGCACTATGACCACGGACCTAGCAATAAAAGAAAGTCTGAAACATGAAGCTAAAACATTTGAGAATACAGTTCCAAGTCACTATCACGACTACTCAGATGTGTTTAGCAAAGAAGATTTTGACTCTCTGCCACAAAGGAGACCATGAAATCACACCATCGAATTGACACCAGGCTCACAACCGATCAGCTGCAAAGTTTATCCCATATCGGTTAACGAACAAAAGGAACTCGACGAATTCATAGAAGAGAACCTTAGAACCAGACGAATTCGACCCTCCAAATCCCCTTGGGCTTCGCCTTTCTTCTTTGTCAAAAAGAAGGACGGACGTCTCTGGCCGGTACAAGATTATCGAAAGCTAAATGAGCTGACAATCAAGAACCAGTATCCGCTTCCCCTAATACAGGAACTTGTTGATAAGCTAAAACAAGCACGATACTTCACCAAGTTGGACGTCCGATAGAGGTATAATAACATCTGCATCAAAGAAGGTGATGAAGAAAAAGCCACCTTCCTTACCAATCAAGGACTATTTGAACCACTAGTTATGTTTTTCGGCCTCACGAACTCTCTAGCTACGTTCCAAACCATGATGAATGATATATTTCGAGACCTCATTAGTCAAAGACACGTAGTAGTCTATCTAGACGACATTATGATCTTCACTCAAGATCTGAAAGAACATCGTCAGATCATGCGGCAAGTTCTACAGATCCTGAGGGAACACAAACTTTATCTGAAACCAGAAAAGTGCGAGTTCAAGAAAACAGAAGTTGAATACCTCGGTATGATAGTAGGAAAAGGCGTCGTTCGCATGGACCCAGTCAAAATAGAAGGAGTCGTCAATTGGCCTCGGCCCGAGTGCAAACGAGACATTCAAGCATTCCTCGGTTTCACCAATTTCTACCGAAGGTTCATCCGAGATTACGGCAAAATAGCAAAACCACTTAGTTCATTAACGGGCAACACTACTTTCGAATGGACCATTGAGCAAGAAGTGGCATTTACGAGCCTGAAAGACGCACTCTGCTCGGCACCGGTACTAGCTATACCCAATGACAATGATCCTTACCGCGTAGAATGTGATGCTTCAGACTTTGCCGTAGGAGCAGAATTAGCTCAGAAGCAAGATGGCAAATGGAAGCCCGTCGCCTATCTATCCAAAGCTATGACAGCAGCCGAAAGGAATTACGAGATTTACGATAAGGAACTTCTCGCAATCATGACTAGCCTTGACGAGTGGCGCCAATGCCTCATGGGCGCCCGGCATCCATTTGAAATATGGACGGATCACAAGAACCTAGAATACTTTCGGAAGCCACAGAAGCTTAATCGGAGACAAGCCTGATGGGTAACTGAGCTTGCCGAATACCACTATTCGCTACATCATAAGCCCGGAAAAACTAATGGCAAGGCAGACGGACTATCCCGCCAAAAGCGACACAATGCAGGGAAAGAAGACAATTCAGATATCGTATTATTGAAACCAGAACATTTTCGTGCCCTGATTCGTAGTACAGTGTTTAGTTTAGAAGGAATCGACCAGGACTGGGTCGCGGAAATTAAAAAATACAAAAAGAATCAAGATTCATTAGTTACCGTAGCCTTACAGAACAAGGACAAGGATTGGACTGAAGATAGTACCAGATTGGTGACATGGAAAAACCGTATCTACGTACCAGTAAATAGGAAACTCCGAGAGCAGATCATTGCTCACCATCACGATACCCCACTAGCCAGATATCCTGGTCAGTACAAAACACACGAAATGGTCACACACAATTATTGGTGGCCTAGAATTCGAGAAGACATTCGGAAGTATGTAGCCGGGTGCGAGAAATGCCAGAAGACCAAGGTTCACATGACAAGACCTACCAGACTTCTATTTCCAAATGAAATTCCTTCGAGACCCTGGGAGGTAATCTCCGTAGACAAGATAGGCGTACTACCAGACTCATTCGGATACAACACCATCCTCGTGGTTGTCTGCATGTACTCTAAACAGATAATTGCGATACCGAGTACCATTGAGCTTAATGCTGAAGGATGGGGAAAAGCACTTCGAGATCATGTAGTCGCACACCATGGACTACCCCGAAAAATCATCAGCGACAGAGGAACTGAATTCAAGAATCAGTTCATCTCCGAACTGTACCGATCACTTGGGATCGAAGCCAACCCTTCCACTACATATCACCCCCAAACCGACAGACAAACAGAACATATCAATCGTGAGATAGAACAGTATCTCTGATTGTTCATCAACTATAGACAAGCCGACTGGGCCGAATGGCTGCCTCTTGCAGCATTCTCTTACAATAACAAAGTCCACTCTTCCACTGGGTACACCCCGTTCTTTGTTAACAAAGGGTATCACCCTTACGAAGAAACTCAACCGGTACGAGAAGGACTAAGCGAGAATGTCCAGCAATTTGTTGATCGAATGAGTCGGGTACGGGAAGACACTAGTGCCGCCATCAGTCTAGCACAAGAGTCTATGAAGCGCTTCTACAACAGGAAAAGGAAGAATGGACCAGAGTACAAAGCTGGAGATAAAGTTTGGCTAGAAGGAATTAATATCCGGACTGTTAGACTGATGAAAAAACTCGACGATAAGCGATATGGACCGTTCAAAGTCAAGCGCAAAGTTGGCGCGTCCACTTACGAGTTAGAACTCCCTCGACAATGGAAACAACACCCCGTTTTCAATGAAAGCCTACTAAGTCCTTTCAAAGAACCTGTCTACCCTTCGCAACAACGCGTGCCGGAAGTTCCCGACCTTGTAAAAGGCGACGAAGAATGGGAAGTAGAAGACATCCTCAATTCGCGTCGCGATCAAAACGGGAATCTAGAGTATCAGGTGCTATGGAAGAACAGTCCACACAGCGATCGCCGTTTCTGGGAATCTCGAGCGAACCTGACCAATTGTCAGGAACTCCTCCAAGAATTCCATGCTAGACGTCCAGATAAGCCGGCACCCATGACTATTCGCATTCCCCCTCTACTCACAAGATCTGTTCATATACTCACACGCGATACCACTCTGTTGGTACAATGAATGGGTGGAATTCTCCCGAAACGCAGATCAGAAGAAGCTGCCGGTCTCGATCTTTACTCCGCTGAAAGTGTTAAAATACTGGCACAAAGTCGCAAGATTATCGGCACTGGTATAGCAATGCGTGCTCCACACGGGACTTATGCCCGGATTGCACCACGAAGTGGGTTAGCGGTCAAAGGAATTGATATTGGCGTGGGAGTCGTCGACCGAGACTACACCAGAGAAGTACGCGTGGTGATGATCAATACTACTGATCAAATCTTCCAGGTACACGCCGGTGATCGAATCGCACAAGTCATTTTGGAGCGTATTGCGTCATGTGATATCGAAGAGGTTTCAAATCTATCTGAAACTCAGCGAGGAGGGGGAGGTTTTGGCTCTACCGGTAAATAATCATGAGGACACGATTCTAGACGGGGGGGGGGTAATGTCATGAATATTACATATTCCAGATGGTTCTCCTGGATTCCATAGTATTCTTTTACTTTCTATACACCTCCGTATATTCATAGAATAATCTAGGTATTGAGTCTGACATGTATATAAGGAGCTCGTACTGCTCAATAACAAGCCAGACTTGAGCTGGTCTTTACTCACCCACTTTCCTCTCGTCTGTCTCCTCAGCCTTGTCATAGCCCAGTCCAGTTGGATTGTAGGTTGCTGACAACTGGGTCGTGTCCGGCATCCCCCAATCGGGCTTCCTGCTATCGGTGCGGCTACGCGACGAGGATCCGGGGAGCTACGACGACGACCTCGGCAAGGCCGTCTTGCGCATGCCGAATGCGAGCGAGGGCGTGCTCTCAGAGAGCTGGCGGTCGGGCGACAGGGAGTACAAGGTGCATAAGCGCAAAATAAGCATCATGGGCAAGCTTTTACGTGCACGACAAGGGGGGACGCTGTGTACCTGGTACGCTTGTGGGTACGCTACGAAGTCATGGGCAAGGTAGAGAGCCGGGAAAACTGGCGGATGTGCACTGTAGGACCCCGTGCGTATATGCCTCTTCTGTTACTGGATGTTCAACTCTGAATTTCTTACCTTCATTAATCTAGGCAAATACATTCGATACTTCTCCCCACTCATAGACAAGTTCCTCAGCTCGTCCAATTCTCCAGACAGTGGCGACCGCAACGCCGTCATGAAGCCTACCGTGTTCGTTGCGAATCGCCCACAGCTCGCGGGACCCGTCCCCTCTTTGCTTCACCACCGCTACGCCGGCTTCACGCCCTTCGTGAAAGCGATGTTCCGCAAGAGAGATCACACGTTATACAAGCAGCCTATGGAGATATACAAGTGGGACAAGACCGTCGCGTGAGGCGTGATCTGCGATTCACATATGTTATCGTGCTGGATGGCAAGCGGCGGTTAATTGTGAGTACGTGCTCTATGTTCTTGTTGCTAAATCGACGCTAACTTCGGTCTTGAACGTCCAGGAAATTGGAGACCAGACGACCATGGAGTTCCTCGGCGAGCTCACCATGCACTCGGACATCGGGGTCGTGTACCGCAGCGAGCTCTTCGTGCGCCCCCTGCGGCATCATCACACCGCAGAGGACCCGTCGCTCGGCGCTTGGCGTGCCCGAGCCATCGCAGAATACGCACACCGATACCCACGATCGCGACCGCGCCCGCGCCGGCGACGCACACGACCAGACCGAAGACGAGCACTTCGACTAGGCACACTTGCCGCACGACACGGCGCTGCACAAGCTTATAACGACTCGGGGGCGCACCGGCCACGCACGGACCTGCTGCGCGTGCTGCACGCATACCTTGCGTTGCCGCGCAACCTCGGTGCGCTTGGGCGGGTCACGACGTTGAACGCGTTCGGCGAGCGCTCAAGCGCTGGAAGGACGCGCGCTAGCGGGCGAAGGCGCAGAAAGGCGAGAGGCTCGTGCGCGCGGACAATGCTTCGAGCGCGTCGAGCGGGAATTCGGTTAGTGAGATCAGTGGTGCCAAGGGTGTGAGAACCCGGGATGTGAGGACTGTCTTCGAGGAGGATGCGAAGAGGGCGAGTGAGGGCGGGGTTGGGATGCACAGGCGAAGAGGGTGGAGGGACAGCCTCAGCCTGAGGATAGTGAGTTCTCGGGCCAGTGAGTCGCAGTAGAGATGACGGGGGCTGATTTGTTTGCCTTTCAAATTCTAGATACCATCCATGGTGCTGGCTGTACTATCCTATCTGCTCGATGTCCCCTTGTGATCATTGTTTTGCCAACTGAACTTCGTTGGAATCCTATTAATGCATGTACATTCATCATAGCATCTGTATATCTACGAATCATAGGATGGCAGCCCATACTCTTCGGGCTTGAAGTCTTCGATCGACTTGAGCATCTGATCTGGTTATTTGATGTGGAGAGCGGCGTGCTCGCGCCTGTACTGTCACTTGTACCGACGGCAACAAGGATTGGGGCGGGTGCCTACATCACTGTAACAGCTATTCAGTCAATCGCGCGGTCGATAATAAACATTCGCGTTGCGTACCATTCGTGCCGACCTCCTTCCAGCCCGCGCGCCCGGAATCGCATCTTCAAAGACCTGGCCCTTCCTCTGTTTCGCCCTCTGCTCCTCCATAACCTCGCAGTCATCATCCTCCAGCTTCCCTTCCGAGACAAATCCTCGTCATGACAAGCACATTCCGCGGCTAGACCGTCGTCATCGCATTCGACGCCGTCCTCGAGGCAGCCAAAGAGTGCGTCCATGAGGTGTACGCCTTTCTGCACACAGTCGCGGGGCCGTTGCTGCACGAGGCGCACGACGCCCAGACGCGGTTGCACCATGGGCCAAGTGGCTGAATAAACAGCGGTGAAGCCGCAGAAGGAAGAGAGCCCGCAAAAGTTCCTCCCGATGAGAGAGGCGATCTCCTGCCGATCGCGGCGGTATCCAAACTGCGGGCCTCCGTGCGGTGTCTCTGCCGTCCGCGAGTACGTCGGATAGGTCACAGAGATTTAGGTCTGCCCAGAGGGGGGGGGGGGGGG